GATGGAAACAAGTTCCCACTAGCGCTCCTAGTGTCAGAACCTGGTATTTCAGCGCCAAATAAAGACATGAACATGATTCTAACGGAAGAGATTTTTTTTTAATTTGCCTAACGAAATAAGACTCATTTTTACGTACTTTTTCTGTGAATATCTCAAATAACGGAAAATAATAATGTACAAAAGAGACGTTTTATATATTCCAAGAATAAAATGGTTACAAATGCAAGATTTTCCTTGCCTTAACGATTCTAGTAATTTGTTAATTTAATACATTTGGTATTTTTTCACTCGCTTTATTTAAAAAGCACTGTATCATACAAATTAACCACTCCTCTCATAGAATATTTTCCAACTGAATATTAATGATTTGCATCAATTGTTTTTTGACCTTAAGTTTACTGTGACGTAAACAATTTAAAAAGTCGCTATCGAAAACATACGTCTTAGAAAACAAACTAATATCTAATTCATTTAAATAGAAAAGAGTGGCATTCACATACTGCTTAGTCAGAATATGCGAGTTTCTTAATGTATGCTTTTCATCTACATTGGATGAACTATTTTTACATGAAGAACGAACGCGAGTTCTTTTGAATTTCATAATAAAAACAGCCAAAAACTTCACACATTTTTCCTGCCATAAGGAAGGATGTCAAGAACAGTATTGTCAAATATGTTTTACCAGAAATTGGCCAGAAAGACAATCAAATTAAAAGAAATCGAGCAGAAAACAATCACCAACAGAGCACTGAGCTTATGCTGTACGCGTTTTCTCCAGGTTCTGCCACTAGATGGAGCTGGCATCAGTGTTACTCCACATATCGCGAAGTGTCCTGTATTGCCTCTATAGTATTTGGCGCGTCGGCCGTGCGGTTGGGGTGGCATCCCTGCCGTAGAGCGCAGCTCGCGCGGGGCTTCACCCGTCACGTGATGCCGAGCGCCGCGGCGCCTCGCGGCAGACTTGTTTATCGGCGTTTGACGACCTCCGCGTAAAGTTTTCACGGCCGGAATATTCGCTTTGATTCGCGGGGCGCGTTCTTTGCCATCAAAAAACACACACCGTTCGCTGCCAGCGCCCTCTCCGACAAATAAGTGGTGAGGGGCTTCGAGGATAGCGGTTGTCACTGCAAGTCACTTAGTGGTAAAAGTAGAACGTGGGATATATTAAAGCGAATTTGTAAAAGCGTATTTGTAAAAGAAGAATCTAGTATATAAAGTATTAAAGCGAATTTGCAACAGATGTACCTAGCATATACTGTATTAAAGCGAATTTGTAAATTAGAACCTACTATACATTAGAGCAAAAGTAAAAATTGGTATGTATCGAAGAGAATTTGTGTGTACTATATGAAAATGTACAGTTGGTTAAGAAAGGCACGAATATGCATTCTCCTTTTCTTTGTTTTTAATTACTTCGGTTAATCCACTACGAAACACAATGTTTCTGATACGAAACAGTCACGTTGCTTGTCGCTTCGCCGCGGATCTCCGAACGCTGTCAAAGATTTTTCATAGTTCCATGGGGGAATAGATGACTTTTTTACTTTATTCGCGTATAACAATTTTTGTAAATTGACCAGTTTAAATGTATGACACGAACTCAATACTTTTATTAAAATATTTCTTGCCTTGGACGGTATTCAAACCCGTGAACAATCATTCATAGGCTTCAAGCCTATAGGCCGCCAAACCACCTAGAGCCAAATAAGCTGCGTTATTGTTTTTGTTGTCTAATGCGCAACTTTAAAAACTTGCCCATTCACCCAACTTCCCCACCGAGACTGTTTTGTGGGGCATTCTCGAATTTGGCCCCACGTGGATGCCGAACACCACCAACAATGTTTTGACTCCCATGTTTTCCACCGGCAAAAGACGCGTCCTTTTATCAGACACGAGCGTCATTTTCTGCCTGAGCGAATACGGAATATGATTAGAATGTAGTTGGTTTTAATTTTTCTAGGACTTTTTACAAGTTTCATTTCCATGCCACATGCACAACTCAGCACACTTGCCTTTGAGAAAATACCGCCACCAGCAGGATTTGAATTCCGCGGACTCGACAACTTGTTGAACCGCTTCGTATCCTGTGCCTCAGGGGCCGATGGCGGTATTTCAACTCCCATTCCGCTGGGATCGAAACTATTATTAAAATTTTCTTCCTATACTTTGTGAGTAAGAGGACCGCGTGCTAATGTCCTTGAGATCAGCACTCAATATACTTCGTTCTTCGTCCTGTGTCGCAGAGACAGCAGGTGGGCAGCCGAGCTGTGTGCCCACTCTCATTAGACTATAATTGGCACTATTATTCAAAGTTTCTTCCCATATTTTGTGTATTCAGAGAGGATTTGGGGAGGGGTTCTTAAATTGGTCCTTGAGAACAGCACTTGGACAGATCCTGCAGGTGTTCCGCAGGGGCCGCTGGCGGGCGGCCGAGCTATATACCAACTCTAATCCATTGGAATCAGCCCTATTGATAAACGTTTCTTCCTATAATTTGGGGGTGTGGGGTTCGGCGAGTGCACCGTGTCCTCGAGACCTGCACTTGAGCCGCTGCTTGCGGTGTGCCGCAGGGGCCGCTGGCGGGCGGCCGAGCTGTGAGCGCGGGGCGGCGCGGCGGCGGCCATGGTGGTGCACATTCTGGACGACACCCACCTGGCCATCAGCGCCATCGTGACGGTCAGCATGCAGCTCGTCTTCTTCGGCGTCGCCGCCACCTTCCAGCTGGACAAGCTCACCGACTTCGCGGGCGGCACCAACTTCATCATCCTCGCGCTGCTCACCTTCTTCCTGTCGCAGGTGAGCGGGCGCGGACGCCACCTCGCACTTTTATTTATTTTATTTATTTTAATTTATTTATTTTAATTTATTTATTTTAATTTATTTATTTTAATTAATTAATTAATTTAACAAAAACAAACAGCTTGTCAGTTCGACAGTTCGTGAAAAACAGTTAAAAACTGTGTGTGACGTGCTATGGGGAAAAGTTAATTTGAAGTTAAGTTCTCACGCGTTGTTGACGCTTGACTTGGCAATGTCCATTCTGTGAGATGTAAATAACGATTTCACGATATTGTGGCTCTTTTGGGCCGTGTTTATCGCAGAAAAATTTGATCAGATGTGGTCAGAGAACTTCCGTGATAACCGTATTACTCGCATTTCCTCGAAGCGCATTCCGAACACATATGAAATGTCAGTAAATAAAATAGTCATAAGGTTGTTTCTAGCGAATTCGTATTAATCTGGAAAGCAAGTTTACTGTCCCACGCGTAGTTGCTTTATCATTTCTTGTTCTCAACAAATTTGCCCATTTTGTATGTAAGCGACAGACAACGGTGGTATAATAAGTACAATAATAATGATCATAATAATGCCGATCTGCTGGCCGAGACTGCGTGGTTGCGTTGTGTATGTCTCGGTATGTTTGTGTACGTGTTTGTGTACATCATTTATCATCATAATCTCATCCCATGGGTGTAAAAATGTCATCTGCACTGAATTGCTGATTCTCCCCTTTAGGAAAGTAACGTGCACTTCCCGATTATCAAAGTCTGAGCGACAGTGGAACGCATGCATTGCGTGTCCCCGTGATGGGCTATTCGCGAAATATAACAATAATTATAACAATAACAACACTAATTATAACAACTGGTTCTTACAGGATTTACATACTCCGGTTCCAAAAAGATCAGTCTGAACTTTTCATGATGTTGCATCTCTTTCATAACGGTTTACATCGCAACACGAAAGCACCCCACAGTTATCTTTTTAGAAATGTGTTCATTTAGTTATTTGGTAAATCATTAGATTTTGGCATACTTTGTTATACGAGGTATCCAATTCAATTCAATGGAGTCATAATTTTCGTGACAAGACTCAGGCCATCCACGATAAATCGCACTAGTTATTTCGTTATCGTATTCAATGGGAAATAAACGTGAGCTCGACCATGGACACGTGCTATTTGGCATGATTGTAACATATTATTCTAATCAGAGGCAAATGGAACGTGTGTAATCTCGTTTTTTAACATTTCCCAGCAGATGGTTACCGTCGAAAAGTTATCATCTTTAACCATCCTACATTTCCCACAAACTTGTCATATTTATTCTAAAACATCCGAACTTAATGAGTTTGTAACCTTCTGTAACGCGATGTGTTGTGCGTAGACGTACGACAGCCGGCAGCTGATGGTGACTGTGTTCATCTGTCTGTGGGGCGTGCGCCTATCGGGCTACCTGCTCTACCGCATCCTCAAGATCGGCCGCGACCAGCGCTTCGATGACAAGCGATCCAACGTCATCAGATTCGCCGTCTTCTGGACCTTCCAGGCGAGTGACCCCCCTCCCCACTGACCTCCCCTCGGCTCTCACTCCACTCTCGCGCACCACACCCACCCACCAGGCGGGACCGTGCTAGGGGCAATGCATTTGGGCGGCTCCAAATCGGTTTAGAAGAGGTCTCTCCAACACACTCTGGCGACGCTTGCACTCTTCTCACCAACGGGTTCGTAGGTTTCCGCGGCTGGAGGCAATGTATTCTTGGCTATTCGGGATGAGCCGCGTCACTGTCAATTGTACTGACGTTTCGGGCCACAGCAAGGCTGCAGCAAGATGGCCGAAACGTCAGTACAATGGACCGAGACGCGGCTCATCCCGGATAGCCAAGAATAAATCTTCTCACCAACCCTACAAAATCATCTTGATTTCGCTTATTGCTCGAACAAGTATAACAAAAGCTTCCGTTGCACGTACATTAAAATCGGACAACTGAGTCCCTTTTGCCGCCGATTGGAACAGTGAGATTAAATTAAAGCCTTTGGTGTCGCCATGCTTTCGAAAATGTGACTGAGATTGCTCGTCGAGTGCGTTTGTCACTCGTACCGTTGGAGAATTAAGGCAAAAGACAAATATTTCCGCTCTTTCATTGCGCATATTATCACGTGAAATATAATGTGAATAAAAAATTGCTTTTGGACTCGCAATGTGGGACATCTGTTCTCCATGATTGTTGCAAAAAAGAGATTTTGAAATTGCCGTCGTAAAAGAATCAGTCACAATTTATAATGGCTCTATAAAGATTGGGAGGCTTATGAAGTTATGAAACACGTCCGTATCGTAGAATGGTCTACTTAAACTAGATGGAATTTCATTGTTGGGCGATAATATAAGCATAAGGTACAATAGGGAGTTTAAACAGTGCGTAACTTATAACAGTCGACTGCAATATGGATGTTCTGTGTAAGAACAAATACTCAAAAGTGATGAGGACCTCAAAACGTGCATGCGCCGAAAATTGATATTCCTGTCGTACTCCCTAATATGTTATACAGAAACGATGTATAACGTTCGTGCTCTGAGGTTACATTTAGAGGCAGGTAAGCCATTTTAAAAGTAGCTTCTAGTGTGATAGTCCATAAGCTATCACGCTCTCGGCTTACGGAAAGAGGAATATGTGATGGCGTCAAAGGAGTGGGGGAATTTAGAGATCCGCCTAAATGAATTGCCTCTATTATACTGCACAGCCGGTAACTTATTTTGTTGTATAACTACACTGTACAAAATCACATGAGACTAAGGGATTTGAAATGTAGATCTTATGGAACGAACATTTTATTTCTAACTATTTGACTTTCCCTCCACTCACCCCACTTGCCCTTTCACTTCATTATCAACTTCCACCCGACAGAAAGAACTAGACCGCACATGTAAACTTATTCTCACACTGTTCCTAATAGTGTAAATTTTTTTGAGAGTGAGAATAAAACGGGAGCACTCCTTAAGACTTCAATTGTAGCTCTTGTGTAACTAATATTGTTTGTATCTGCTTTCGCTTTTCTTTCCCAACTTGAACTTTTACTCCATTCTCTGAATCCACAATCGGTAACTACTGGAGAAACAAAACAAAACTATCCCTGCATATTTAAGAATACTATTTTCATTCATGTAAGTGGCTAGATTGACAGACATTATGTGCCAGATTGACGGGCACTCATAAGTAGTTAGATATAATTTATCACTTTTATGTGTTACTCATGTAGTCACGATGGAGTCGCTTCTTTACAGCGTAGAAAGCGAACGATAACAATGACTGAATGCGTTTTATATTGTCTACACTTCGTATGTTTCTTAATGCAACAATACATTTCTAACCGATTTCTTTCTGTCGTAGAAGACCTCAATTAATCCCCAGAACAGTGCGTTTTAATTTACTTCTCTTCGGATAGAATTCAGAGAAAAGCAAACGGCGATAATTGCCAATTGTAACACTGTTGTTTGTTAACACTTACTTTCGTAACTACGATGTGAACTAGTGTAGAGGGTAAGAAATAGCAAAATTCGTGAAAGATATAAGATGAAGTAAGAGTTAAGCGTGATACAAGTATTAAAATTAACACACTATTAAACGGATCAATATGACACTAACATCCCCGTTTTTTTCAAAACACTACATAGGAAACGATATATTTAAAAAATTGCATATTGTTAATATTTCATATAAATCACACATTATACCCTCAATTAAAGAGTTTTTAAGAAACAGATCCCAGAATACTTTCAATTACGAAAGTGGGACAAATTTCTAAATAAGTTAACAACCAACAAAATTCGCCGACAGTTCCACAAGTCAACAATACGCCTATGGAAACGTCATCACCTCTGAACACGTTACAGACGAGAATTTCATTTGTAAAATACTTTAAATTGTTTCGCTAATTATTTTGAAATATTAATGCACTGCAGAAATTCAGAAATAATGTGAAGACTTCTCAGCGGGTGACCTATCAAATACGTCACTGAGTATGGTGAGACGACCAAATTCATTCACTTTCATTCCGATAAAATGTGTTATAGTAATTTTCTCGTAGTGTTTAGAATTGTTATTCTCTGTATTCACATGTATCTGCATGAGCAATCATATTTACAATGCAATATCACGTAGAAAATTAATATTTCTTAGTTTAATTACGTACAGTTTATAGAATTTCGTACGGTTTAGACCAACTACTCAGGTAGTTCCTCATTTGCACTTTTTATATTTTTATTAGTACGTAGTGAAATTAGTAGTTTCCGAAGACGCATGCAGGCAGCTATAGTTCACATGTATTGAGTATTCTCATTTTCATATCAGATTAGTTGTTGATTTATGGTTATTCGTTAGGGAAATTATGCGTAATTAAACAATTTCCCATTATCTTTATAACTAAATTTCTAATTTCGATTTCGCCAAGTGGTTCTTCCTCTTAGATACCATATTTCCCCCTTCATTCCTTTCACTTTCCACTTTAGAGTTAAATATGGCATTTGTTGTAGCATTTTTGTCACCTTGTATTCTATTATTTTACAACGGCATTTTAATGTCATCACTGTTTCATCTTTATCTCTGCTTCTTTTACATATTATGAAATTGATCACCCTTTTTTCCACTTTTATAATCACATTATTTACACTTTTAAAAATTTCTACTACAGTAGTTTCTAATTTATTTTATCTTTCTTTCATCCAACTTTCCATTATCACCGCCATTATCATTAATATTACTGTCTCGATCTTTTTCTTATGATTTTCCTTTGTTTCACCCTCTTCTTCCCATGCCGCTGCCACCATAGACAATGATCTAGTCTTATCTTCATTTTCCAAAATGTTCTGCTTCTTATGTTTCCTTACACATTTCAGTCGTCATTAGCGTAGTATCCTTAGCCTATTTTCCCCGTATTGTTTTATCTTCTTTAATTTGATATCACCACTTGTCCTCCCTCCACCACTAACACCTTTGACGTAATCTTCTTGTCTTCTTTTTCCTCCCTGCTACTATTACTTCTTCTTCTTCTACTACTACTCTTCGTCTTCACCATCTTCTTCTTCTTCCCCTCCCCGCCCTCCTCCCGAGGAGGAGGGGGTGCCGGGGCGTGGCGCGGGAGGAGCCGCCCGCCGACTGTCGGGTGACGCGTGACGGGCGCGCGTCGCGTGCGCAGGCCGTGTGGGTGTTCGTGGTGAGCCTGCCCGTCATCTTCATCAACTCGCCGCACAACGCCATCCCGCCCGCGCCCAAGACGATGACGACGCTCGACTCGGCCGGCACGGGGCTTTTCTTCATCGGCCTGCTGGCGGAGACCTACGCCGACCTGCAGAAGTTCTCCTTCCGACAAGACCCGGCCAACAAGGGCAAGTGGTGTAACGACGGTGAGGCACTCATTCATTCAAAGATTCATCATTCAAAGATTCATTCATTCATTCTAAGATTCATTCATTCATTCAATGATTCAATTCATTCAGATTCATCACATCCAGATTCATTCATTCTATCCAGATTCATTTCATTAAGTCATTCATTCAAGATTCATTCATCATATTCTCATACAGATTCATTCATTACAATTATTCATTATAGATTTCATCTTCATTAATCATTCATTCAAATAGATTCATTCATTCATTCAAAAGATTTCATTCATATTCATTCAAGTTCATATTATATTCATTCAAGTTCTTATTCTCATTCATTCAAAGGATTCATTCATTCATTCATTCCATTCAAAGATTCATTCATCATTCTTCATCAAATTCATTCATTCATTATTTAGATTCATTCCATTCATTCAAATTCATTCATATCATTATCAAGATTTCATTTTCATTCATATTCAAGTTCATTCATCATATTTATCAGATTCATTCATTCATTCATTCTATCATTATATGATTCATTCAAGTTCATTCATTCATTCACATTCAGATTCATTCTTCTTCATTCTTCAAGTTCATCAATTCATCATAAGATTCATTTCATTCATTTCATTCATTCAAAGACATTCACATGTCATTCATTCAAATTCATTCATTCATTCAGATTCAATTCATTCATTCATTCAACATTCATTCAAAGATTCATTATTCATTCATTCATTCATTCAAAAGATTCATTCAATTCATTCATTCATTCAAAATTCAATTCATCTCATTCAATTCAAAGATTCATTCTTCATTCATTCATTAAAAGATTCATTCATTCATTCTTCATATCATTCAAAGATTCATTCATTCATTCATTCATCTTCATTCAAAGATTCATTCATTCATATTCATTCATTCATCAAAGATTCATTCATTCATTCATTCATTCAAAGATTCAATTCATTCATTTCATCATTCAAAGATTCATTCAAATTCATTCATTCATTCAAAGATTCATTCATTCAAAGATTCATTTCATTCAAAGATTCATATCATTCAAAGATTCATTCATTCAAAGATTCATTCATTCATTCAAAGATTCAATTCCATTCATTCAACAGTTTATTCATTCATTCATTCAAAGATTCATTCATTCATTCACAGATTCATTCATTCATTCAAAGATTCATTCTTTCAAATTTTTTCCCCCCAAAAGATTTCATTCATCATTCATTCAAAAGATTTCATTCAATTCATTCATTCAAAGATTCATTCATTCATTCATGTCAAGATTCATCTCATTCATTCATTCATTCATTCAAAAGATTCATCATTCATTCATTCAAAGATTCATTCATTCATTCATTCAAAGATTCAATATCATTCAATGCTATTCAAAGATTCATTCATTCATTCATTCATTCATTCAAAGATTCATTCATTCATTCATTCATTCATTCAAGATTCATTCAATTCATCATTCAATTCAAGAGATTCATTCATTCATTCATTCAAAGAATTCATTCTAAGATTCAATTCATTCATTCTAAAATTCCATTCTTCATTCTAAGATCCATTCAATTTCATTCATTCTAAGATTCATTCATGTCATTCATTCTAAAGATTCATTCATTCATTCATTCTAAGATTCATTCATGTCATTCTTCTAAGATTCATGGTCATTCATTCCTTCTAAAGATTCATTCATTCATTCTAAGATTCATTCATTCATTCTGATTTCATTCATTCATTCAAGATTCATTCATTCATTCTAAGATTCATTCATTCATTCTAAGTTCATTCATTCCATTCATTCTAAGATTCATTCATTCCATTCATTTAAAGATTCATTCATTCATTCATTCATTCTAAGGGAAAATTCATTCATTCATTCATTCATTCATTCTAAAGATTCATTCATTCATTCATTCATTCATATCTAATGATTCATTCATTCATTCATTCATTCTCAGATTCATTCATTCATTTTCATTCATTCTAAGATTCATTCATTCATTCATTCTAAGATTCATTCATTCATTCCTAAGATTCATTCATTCATTCTATAGATTCATTCTTCATTCATTCTAAGATTCATATCATTCATTCTAAGATTCATTCATTCATTCATTCTAAGAATTCCATTCATTCTTCAATTCATTCTAGATTCATTCATTCATTCATTCTAAGATTCATTCATTTCATTCATTCAATTTCTACCAGATTCATCATTCATTCTAAGATTCATTCATTCCATTCTAAGATTCATTCATTCATTCATTCAATTCTAAGGATTCATTTCCATTCATTCTAAGATTCATTCATTCATTCTAAGATTCATATCATTCATTCTAAGATTCATTCATTCATTCTAAGATTCATTCATTCTAAGATTCATTCATTGTAAGATTCATTCATTGTAAGATTCATTCATTGTAAGATTCATTCATTCATTCATTCTAAGATTCATTCATTGTAAGATTCATTCTACGATTCATTCGTTCTTTCTAAGATACATTCATTCATTCTTTCTAAGATTTATTCAAAGATTCATTCGCATCAGCAAAATGCAATAGATGTGGACTAACAAATCGTGCAAAAGGTTCAAATTTAAGCGTCGCACTCCTAGAATTATAAGTTTGAAGCGTCTAGTACAGTACTGTGGAAAAGTGAGGTTAAAATTGATAAACATAAAGTATATCAAATTATATTTAATTTTTAAATAGTTTATATATATATTTGAATTCATTAACTACTTATAATTATGCATATTTTATAATACATGAACAAATATTGCACAAATAATGTTTCCCTATTTGAGGTATCTTATCTCCTTCTGTAGCTGAAAATACTTCCAGCGGCTCATGATCTGGTATTAAATATTATTTTTTTAAATAATCTTGAAAACTTATAACGTACATGCTCTTCGAAAATTATCCCACTGGAACACTTTTACAGATGTTAGAGAGTGAAAGATATCTTTTTGTATTTTAACGTATTTCGTTTAAGGTCAGTTGAAAACGGACATTGAGATATTAAATATACTCAAAATACGCTCACAAGATGAAATGTTAAACACGCCCGTTAGTAAAGATAAGACAAAAACATATACACATTCATTATCAGGTCTATAAATTTTTAAATAGGCTGCTAAAAGTGCACGGTATTTGAGCAACGTTAGTTTTGTCAAAACACAAAATTAGAATTACGCAATAAAATGTGGAGTGTGTTAAAAATTCGATTCGTGTCCAAGATCTACTACTTCCACGTTTGTCGACAACTCGAAGTCCATTCACACTTGTCTCACTTCACTGCGATCGTTCCCTTCTTACTGAATAACAAAACATACTCGTGCATTGTAAAAGTTTATTTTCATTACGGACATGTTGAAAATTTTACTTTCCATTAAGTTGTTTTCACAAGCAAAACACTGTATACAGAAGCTGAGTAGTCATAAAAGAACATATTATTCGTAACAAAACACACATATGTTTACACTTTTCATCAAGTATGTTTGTCTTCGCAATTCCAAATTCACTTACAGTATTGCGGAATGCATTAAATACATTTACATTTAAGAGCGTGATTTTTATATACTTTTGGAACTACCATTTTGAATTGAACAAGTTTTTCCAGAAATAAAATTATTAGAAATTCCAATTTCTTTTGATATTAGACTACAAAAATTTGCAACATTGCCTCTTCACAGAACGAATTGCCCTATGAATCATTCAATAATCCCATCTTCATTGAAATCCCCTAGAGATAAACAATTTTCGTCTTGAATTGACGATGATGATTGTTTATTTGTCATCACTCAGCATTTTATAACTGGGAGAACAAAATAGCGATGTTATAAATCAGTTTACAGTGCTACTCTTATCTTTTTTGTCAGAATATAGATTCAGATGAAGATACTCATAAAAAATTCAGAAATAATTACGTCATTCAGATGCCAACATTTTGTCTTAAGCGCACGAAAATTCTCATTCATTCATTAAAATATGAGAGCATACTTTTCAGATTGGAAATCTTGAACTAAAATAGTGTTTAGTCCTTTACGACTTACAAATGTCCCAATGCTCTCATAATTATATTATACATCAAGTATATTTAATGAAGATTGGAAAATTGATTTTTTCCAAATTCGTTAGTTTTTCAGTAAAATTTGTATAGACCTGACTTTAACAACAAGACACCCTGCAATTTTCAAATTCTTGTGTTATGTTATTTAAAACATTTTTTTTAAAGTTTGCCTCCGATTGATATTCACTTTAAGCAGAACGGGCAAATAAAAATAAAGTAATCCGCTTCGAAATAACTTTGTATCGCACAGTATAAAGTTCACATTAGCCTACACGAGGTGGCTAGGGATAATAAATTACGTTACGGTGACGAGAAATACCAGATATGTGATAAATGCGGATTAGATTGTTGCTGAGAAGTTTCGTTACCGAATGAGCAGCGAGGCTACGGAATAGACAATCGACTTTTGCAATTTTCATAAACCACCTTGAGTCTGCGCAAACATAACTTTCAATGCATCTTATGCCAAAAGTCTTCTTTTGAACACGGAAGATGTCTCAACTCGGATAAACATAGGCAGTGCTCTGGGGCTAATACAACCATTAGCCGGTAGAAGTGCGAAATGATCAATTGATTATGATTTTTGAAGTGTTATCTACAACGTGTGGGTTAAAGAACGAATACACCGGCTAACTGCTAGCATTAGTTTTTTTTTTTTACCACTGAAACATAAACTGACCAACTGGCGCATGCGTAGGTCTGTGGCGGCTGTCGCGCCACCCCAACTACTTCGGCGAGATCGTGCTGTGGTGGGGCATCTTCATCATCTCGGTGAACGTGCTGGACGGCGCCGAGTGGGTGGCCATCCTGTCGCCCATCTTTACCACGCTCATCATCCTCTTCCTCTCGGGCATCCCGCTGCTCGAGAAGTCGGCGGACGAGCGCTACCGCGAGTGAGTGCACTAACAGCCCATTCACAATGCCCACATAAGCATAGCGCCTAAACCTAAACATTAACATAAGTGATAGACTGAAGTATTCACAATGTCTAACATAAACGTAAGAGAATAAACAGTTTCTATTGGCTGTGAGACATTCTGTTTTACTATTGGTTGGATGTGAGATTCGATTTCGAGGTATCAACTGTGTCAATGGCCCATACGGCGTTATTTCTTCTATCGACTTCGCTTCTATTTCGATTCTCGATTTTGAGTTACCGTACTGTGATTGGTTCATTTCGTATGTCTTACTTAAGCATAAGCACAGAAGCTTGAATCTTGCAAGCTCTTAAGTTAATGTCTTACGTGTTATGCTTAGGCGAACGCATTGTGAATAAGACAGCTTATAGACGTAGTCCTAATTTTTATGTTAACGCCATGCTAATGTTTATGTTTGCATCTTGAATGGACCTTAACAGCAACGATTGTTGTTCAGTTATAATAATAATAATAATAATAATAATAATAATAATAATAATAATAATAATACAATTGTAATAATGTGGATAAGTTGGAAGTTACATCAGAGCGACCAAAACAAAAACAATCATACTAAAGTGGTTATTTGAAGAACGTAAACAAGCTATCTCGGAAAGAATGAAAGATTGGAAAACCAAGAAGAACCCAAAGAAAAATCGAGTCTCTTGCTTCCATCTATGTCTTCCATCTACGGCGATAATTCGCCAATAATAACGATAATAATAATAATAATAATAATAATAATAATAATAATAATAATAATAATAATAGTAATAATAAATGCTTGTCGGCGAATAATGACCACGCTGCACATCTTCCGCGGCCCAGTCATATATATCCCGGAGTGAGTAACGTATATCATTATAGAGATCAGCTTTTTTTGGCTGTATTCTTTGGTAAGACAAGGTTGTTACGCCTTGAATTATGAAATATAGAGTAATATGATAATGAGGGGTGAAGGGACAATCATAACTACGACCATGCCTACGCTGGACTCGAATTTGCAGCCTCCTCGGTGCAAACGACGACTGCCGCAACCGTCTGCGGCGACATAATAACAATAATAATAATAATAATAATAATAATAATAATAATAATAATAATAATATTGTTGTTGTAAATTATTATTTTGAACCTTCATAGTCCAGCATTAAGGATTAATTCGAATATATTAGTACTACCTGTTACGGTGAAGCTGCTTTCCATGTGTGTGCACCTCATAAATTTCAGTGGCTCGTTCGGAAAGAACAATTGTTATAGGGATGGGATAAGGGGCTTCAGTTTTACACATTCAAAATTCTGTGTATCCTCCTGATAACAAACATGATTGTAAGGGTCTAATGGAAGAGCGAACAGGCAACATTGTGCAGAGAGACGTGAAAAACACCAGAGGGAGACGAATAAGCGAGTTTCTGCGCCTACGTGACACAGAACATATAAATGATCAGAATGTTCGTAGGATTTCTTCTTTTCCAAATTATTTTATTTACATTTCTTAGTTTGAACATTTCAGGGTGGAAATTACATAGGAGACATCTAGAAATGGAGTAATTTTGTTTCTGAAAGGAATATTTATTGAAACACATTAGTCGATTCGCTTTTGCCTACAATTCGCAGCATTAGTGCCCGCCCACCCATATCTCGTTGCCCACAGACGTATGTTCGCCTCCTAGAGTAGTCCATCGTCACTCCCTTGACTTTTCAACCTCGCGCATTTCTGCCAGCGAGTTACCTCCTTTAAGTGTTGAAAGTCGCCTCGCGAACTACCTTCTACATGAGCCGCTGTTCTCTGCACTCGCTGCACACAGCCACCCCTTGCTATCCCGCTTCCACCGTCGCCGCGCTAGCAAACGTCTTCGCTCACTCCTTCCAGCTCCTGCCACCGCTATTCGCCTCCACGCTCCGCCTCCGCCGAGATACGCCGCCACCATCAGAGTCACCTCATCCGTCACTTACCAACGCCACCGCCAACGCAACCGCCAACGCCAACCGCCAACGCAACCGGCCCAACGCCAACCGCCCAACCGCCAACCGCCCAACGCCAACCGCCGCAACGGCCAACCGCCCAACGCCCAACCGCCCACGCCAACCGCACAACGCCCCAACCGCCCATATCGCCAACGCCAACGCCAAACCGCCTAACGCACATCCGCCAACGCACCACGCCCAAACGCATCACCGTTCCCAACGCACACCCGCCCAACGCACACCGCCAAACGCACAACCGCCCAAACGCACACCGCCCAACGCACAACACCGGCCCAACCGGCAACACCGGGCCCAACGCACACCGCCCAACGCACCACCGCCGCAACGCACACCACCGCCCAACGCATCACCGCCCAACGCACCACCGCCCAACGCACACCGCCCAACGCACACCGCCGCCAACGCCCACGCCAAACGCACACCGCCCAACGCACCCGCCCAACGCACACGCGACCAACGGCACACCGACCAAACGCAACCGCCCAACGCCAACCGCCCAACGCCCACCGGCCCAACCCAACCGCCAGACCCAAACCGCCCAACGCGCAACCGCCACGCCAACCGCCCAACGCCAAAACCGCCGCACGCCAACGCCCAACGCCAACCGCCCAACGCCAAACCGCCCCAACGCCAACCGGCCCCACGCCAACCGCCCAAACGCCAACCGCCCCAACGCCAACCGCCCAACGCCAACCGCCCAACGCAACCGCCAAAGCCCAAACCGCCGCAACGCCCAACCGCAACGCCAACGCCCGAACGCCAACGCGCCCCAACGCCAACCGCCCAACGCCAACGCGACAACGCCAACCGACCTAACCCAACGCGCCCAACGCCAACCGACCAACGCCAACCGCCGCAAGAGTCCAACCGGACCACGGCCAACGCCCAACGCCAACCGCCCAACGCCAACCGCCCAACGCCAACCGCCCAACGCCAACCGGCCAACGCCAACCGCCAACGCCACCGCCCACGACGCCAAACCGCCCAACGCCAACCGCCCAACGCCACCGCCCAATCGCACAACCGCCTCCAAGCGCCCTAACCGCCCAAACGGCCAACGCCCAACGCCAACCGCCCAACGCACCCACCCGCCCAGACACCCGCCCAACGCACAACCGCCCAACGCACAACCGCCCAACGCACACCGCCCAACGGCACACCGCCAACGCACACCGCCCAACGCACACCGCCCAACGCACACCGAACAACGCACACCGAACCAACTGAACAAGCCGACCACCGCACACCGACCAAACGCACACCGACCCACGCCCACCGCCAACGCCACCGCCCAACGCCAAACCGCCCAACGCGCAACCGCCCACGCAACACGCCCAACGCCAACCGCCAACCGCCCAACCGGGCCAACCGCCCAACGCCAAGCTCGCTCGCACGCCACACCGCCCACGCCCAACCGCCCAACGCCAACCGGCCCAACGCCAACCGCCAACGTCCAAACCGCCCACGCCAACCGCCCACGGCCAACCCCCAACGCCAACCGCCAACGCCAACCGACAACGCCCAACCGACCAACGCCAACCGACCAACGCCAACCGCCCCAACGCCAAACCGACGCCAACGCCCACGCCCAACGCCAACGCGACCAACGCCAACCGCCCAACGCCCACCGCCCAACGCACCGCCCAACGCCAACCGTCCTAACGCCAACCGCCCAACGCCAACCGCCCAACGCAACCGCCCAACGCCAACCGCCCAACGCCAACCGCCCAACGCCAACTCGCCCAAACGCCAACCGCCCAACGCCAACCGGGCCCAACGCCAACCGCCCAACGGCCAACCGCCCACGCCAAACCGCCCACGCCACTTCTGATCACCACTACGCCGTCGCCGCCCGCCGCGTCCGCGCTCCCCGAAGCCCTCCGTCGAGAAGCGTAAGAATCCCTCTCCACGGCGTCCTCGTCCGCCGTCCTCGGTCCTCCTTTCCATGCCTCGAGAGGAAGAGGCTCCTCGAGACCTCAATAAGCCCCCCCCCTTGCCTCATCCCGCCAACAGCACCGCGCTGCGCCTGCTGCCTTCCGCGGCCGGCTGCCAAGCGTGAGGACGAAACGGGCTGCTTCAAAGCGACGCTCGTCCAACGCTAATTCGCCAATGATAAGACCTTGACTTTCTCTACTACGTATGACACTAACAGGCAGCCGGCGAGACTACCGAACACAGAAAGGTAAAATTTGTAACAGATCTAATATTCAATAACACAAGAATATATAGGATTTTGTTGAAAGTAACACATGTCAACTTAAATACACTCAAATGTTTGAATATCACTAAAATTCGAGCAATTTCGCAGATAACTCTTTTTAAAATAATAGAAACAATTGGTAAATTAAATTGTCGTGCCACAGCAATGGTTTCCTTATTTTCTGGTTGATGTCTCTAAATAGGTTAAATTAAGTATGAGAACCCCCCTCCACAAAAAACGCAATTTTAAATTACAATTATTTAAATGAACTTTGTAAAAAACGAAATATCTACCTTAAGAATGAAAATAGTTTTCTATAAAACTTGAAAAAACGAAATTTTGTTTAATTAAAAATTAATATATTTCAATTTTAAACATAGTGACGTTGAAGGCGATCTAAGCTGGACGCGGTTGGTCCATGAGGGTTTTCGTTACTAACTTAATCTTTTGCTATTAAAGCTCCGATTGGATAACGCGTCTCCTAGCTGATCGTACTTCAGAAGTAACTATTTTGTTCGTAGAATAGATTTGATTCATGGGTCCAACCTTCCACATACTTCGGCAAGAATGAACTTAAGTTTCCCATCGGGGATATGTTCGCATTCATGCGACCATGCAGAAATTCAATTTCTTTGCCTGCGATAAGATGAAAATTAAATTACATCAACATTAAGTCATCTCGGCGAAGGATTTTATCAGCAAAAAATCTTAAGCAAACCATCGATCATTATTTTCGTTTAATCAATAAAAAATGTGTATCACAAAAACATTAGTTTTATTCCAAATTTCGTACTCATTTTTTAAATTTTAACCAACGTGTCGCATCCAGACCTACAAGTAAACTTCAATTATATTTTTCAAAGTTACTATACCTTATTGGAATAAAAAAGACAATTTTCTCTTCGGAGATTTCACGAAAAATATCATTAAATATTTATTTCAAGCACACCATAAACTAGCAACATTCATACATTCAGTTAAAATCTCATGTTCTTAATACCACAGCTATCCGTATTTCAAAACAATTTTCTAAAGCTAAGAAAATGGAAATTTTGTGAATTCGCACACCTTTTTGAGGCTAGCGGATTAAATAAGAAAGAAAAAAAAGGTAATCTGGAAATTGAAACTATTTTTTAATCGAATTTTTGTTAGCATCCAGACTCTCCAAGTATCCCCTTCGTTCAACATGCGCGAAAGAACGCGAGACTTAAATATATGCTTAATGTGACTAAAAAACGGTAATCTTGAACTTTGAAACTATTTTTTAATCGAATGTGTTTAGCAATCCAAACTTCGCAAGTATCCCTTCCTTCAAGATGCCGCGAAAGCAACGCGAGAATTAATGTGTGCTTAATGTGCTAAAAAATGTAATCTTGAAAATTGAAACTACTTTTTAATCGAATGTTGTTAGCATCCAAACTCTCCAAGTATCCCTTTCTTCGAGAAGCCGCGAAAGCAACGCGAGCTGTGTGCTCGGGCACTTGCGCCAGTTTGATGAAGTTGGCACCTCGTCCCCGGAGGGCGTGGTCGGCGCGCCGAACCTCCGGAGCGCGGGAGCTCTTCTCGGTTTTTGCCTAACTAATTACGTCTTGCTAACTCATTACACGCGTTTGTTGTTCGCGGCGAAAAATTAAGTTTGCGGGCCTCTTAAGTGGATTAGGTAGATTGCCGTCCGCCGAGTCGTGTGCCCGGCCGCTCTCTGTCGGGATGGGGGGGGGGGAGCCGAGCGAAGCGAACCTGGGGCCGGGCAGCAGGGGTCATCTCCTCAAGAAACCGCGAGGGCTGCTTTCCACGAAAACGCGACGGAGCAGCCGTTACTCGCACATCCAGAGCAGACAGCTCTTCAAACTGAAACGTTCTGCGAAGCCAGGCAGCCCTCTGTCAAGTGCACTCTTCATGGCGTAGTAGCTCGTAACGCACACTCGAAACTTTCGGGGAATCCGTACAGTCAGAAATCTTTCAGGAATTTGTACCGGGATAATCGGTTTTTTATTCGGAGTAGACTGATTACAACTAATTATAAATTGTTAAATACTTCCATATTAATTGAGATAAAATTGCAGTGCACGCCCCCCGGCACATCGCCGTTACACGAAGCTCATCAGTGCAGCAAGTATCGTGAAAAAAGGAAACTAAATGAATATGTGAACTCCATTGACTCTTCCTTCTGATGTATACTATATCTAAGTCATATACACTGTCATATTTTGTTGCCCTTTATAGAACTGAATACAATGTTCCTGTTCGTGTATAAAATAATACATGGCAGTCAATAGATAAGTTTTATTTCTCGAGATTTAAACATTACTTCACTCTTTAATACCTTAAAATAACGTAAATAAGAAGTCAATGAATTACTAAAATATTGCTGCCGCAACCAATGAGAGGTGAGACGAGGTCATTGATTTAAGCCCTGCACTACGAATCATTTAGCATATTGGCGCTTTGATTGTTACTGTCGGCATTTGAAGACCATTTAACCATTTATCAATGCTTCAATTAGAATAAAGAAGACTATCGGTTCTTCAAAAAGGAACACTTTGATAGTATTTTTTATCAATTATCAAATATACTATATATATATACTATATATACTATATATACTATATATATATATAATATATATACTATATATATAATATATATACTATATATATATATATATATATATTTGTTATTTTTTAATTTAACATTTAAAACAAAAGCCTTTAACTCTAAACACTCAAAAGTAGTCGTACAGATAAAATTTTGAATCAAAAAGTAAACGATTGACCATTAATGTAATGATTAGGTTATTAATTGCGCAGCCATTTGCAACCAGATGCTCTCTATTGGCGGCGCCTGCGTTCTTCAGACGAGTGAAGGCGAGCGCGCGCGTGTTGCAGCAACCCGGAGTACCGCTACTACAAGGCGTCGACGTCGCCGCTCATCCCCATCCCGCCCTCCTTCTACGTGGAGGTGCCGTGGTTCCTCAAGTTCATGCTGTGCTGCGAGTACCCGCTGTACGACTCGCTGGACGTGCCCACGCCCACCGTCATCACCGAGTCCACGAGCATCTCGCCGTCGCAGTCGCAGTCATAGCTGGCGGCCGCGGGCTGCGCGGTTCGCGCGCCCGCCGCCACCGCCGCCGTCGTGGCCGCCGCCGCCGCCCGCAACGCCCTCTGCCCCGACACGCCGCCATCGGCGCCCGCGCACCCGGCGCCCGCGCCCGCGCCCGTCGCCAGCCTCACGACGGCCCTGTAGCGCCCCCTCGGCCGGCCCCCGCGCGCGCCGGCCCCGCCACAGGAGCAGCGCTGGCCGGAGGAGAAGCTCGTGTGAGCCCCTCGCACCACGGCGCGGGCGCCGACGGCCCGTCCTCCCGTCCTCCCTCCCTCCCGTCCTCACCCCGTCGCTCCTCGCGTTTCGTGGTCGCTCGACTGGCCTCGCCTTCGCAACGGACGCTTTCTGTCTGCCCTCTGGTTTGTCGTATGACCTCCCTAACTTCCATTTCATTCCTCGTCACTCCTCGCGTTTCGTGGTCGCTCAACTTGCTTCGCAACGGGCTATTTCTGTCTGCCCTCAGGTTTGTCGCATGACCTCCCAAACTTCGATTTCATTCCTATTAAATTGATTTAAACACGAAGCACCTTAGGTGTTTCCGACTTGTAGATTTTATCATGGGATTTATTACGTTTTACTAACTTATGCTTTTTTTCTCAAAGTAATGGCTACACGCTTTTTTAAATTTATTTGTAGCGTAACCATGCCGAGGGAGGAAGGCCTCTGGTATAGCAAGTGAAAACAGAGCTATATTATCCTCTCTCAAGCCCTAGTTTGTACACAAAAAAGATTACCGGAAGGGGGTATCACAGAACTTATGACGGCACTTTTTTTATGATACATTTTTGATGACCAATGGTGCTACCGCGACAACTATTAGGACTTTCGATATGCTATAGACATTTACAACGGTCAGTAATAGAACCGTAAATAAACTTCTTAAGCTCGTTATTGTGTCCCAGGGTGTTATTAACTTCTCCATATCGCCAAAAGTGCTTGGAAACTTCACATTTTCTTCCATGTTTCTTCGTAGATCTAGACGAAAGACAAAGCTAATGAATGAATCCGATTGATAAATGTAATTGACTGACATGTACAAACACATTCGTTTAGGCAATTTGGTATTCCGTAGCTAGGCAGCATTTCTAAAGTGGACAAGGTTGTTACGAAATTCGTGAAAATTAATGAACGTTTCGACATAGCTCGATCACTTTTTTTTCACTAATGTTTCACTGGACGTTAATGTTTCTCAAAAATGTGAAGCTTTTCCGAAGGCTGTTAATTCGTCTCCAAAATGTGCAATGTTACCGGATTTTACTGAAAATGTGTTCGTCCTGGAATAAAGTTTATCTGCTCTGTTAAGGAAACAATAGTGCCAACTAGCATCAGAAACTATGTTTGTAGTACAGTTCTAGAGTTATATCAACATCTAAAAGACAATCTAAAGGGAAAGGTGGGATCTCTACGATTTTGTCAAATTTTTAAAATAGCATGTTCACTATAATATACAATATTTTAGTTAGAAACTTGAAGTCGATTGAGCTGTGTGGGCAATCGCCCGGAACTCCATTTCTAGTATGACTGCATTTTGGAATGCAAAAATTCTTTATAGCGCGATCGTTGATATAAACCGTGATGCTCTTGCTAAGCTGCCGAGATCGTTTATAACTGAATGTGTTCAATAGCATTTTACAGCGCTTCCGCGAAAGTTTTTATATGTATTTTAACGAGCATAACAATGATTTCACTGAATATATTCTAGATATTTGAAATCTGTTCAATAACGTTATTTTTATATAAAGTAGACACTATAAGTAGAAGCCGCTGCTAGTAGTATAATTTAATTTCATTGCATACATTACAAAATTATGAAAAAAAACATATCACAAAATTGAATAACACAACCGTTATATTTTTCTTGTTATGAATAATTCATTATGTATAAGTAAGTAAATTCGGAACAGTTTTAAGGAGAAAAGTTAAGTCCTGAAGAAAATGCTGACGCAGCGGATTTAGTTAATTCGAAGGAATATAACTTTGAAATTTCACGACATGTTTGGGTCAGAAACTAAGCTTACGTGGACTCGCTTCCTATCCTTTGGCTAGACAGCCCGCTACTGACCTTGGCCGATCAGCGGTGACCCAGCTTTTCGGCCTTGAGATAAGGGGTTCATGTGGTTAGCACGAAGACATCCCTTCACCGTATATTCTGGTCTTCATAACCTTAGGGTAGGCTTTCTCTAGACACACAGCAATATATATTGGGTAATTTCTACGGAAAGCGCACAGTTATTGTTTTGCCCCGTCCGGGAATCGAATGCAAGGTTGCGCCGTGGAAAGCAAGCACGCTAACCAACGAGCTACCAAGTTCATTGCACTCGCCTCACCTTACTAAAAATACAAGCCCTCATTTCTTGGTTTTTGTTCATTTCCTCTATAATCTTTACGTATCGTTAATGGACACATGGACGTAGAATGAGCACTACAAAACAAAGGCATTTTTTTCTTCTCCAAGAAAATCTTGAATAAATAAATACGCAATAATTGTAAACGCACCTAACCTTTCCATCAAACATCATGACAAAATGTGAACGTTGCATTAGTAATGAACTGAAAACGCTTACCAGAAATTACTTTGACACCTTTCAGGCAACTTCACGAACGTTTGAAAGCAGGCGTATTTTAATTACGTGACTTCAACTCGAGAACATAACTTCTCTAGTTATCAAAAGTAATGATAATTCCAAGATGCAAGGATACCTTCAAAATATTTTCATACAATGATTCCCAAAATAATTGTTAACTTCCAAGAGTATTTATTACAATGTATCCAACAATATTGCTCGGAAACCCATACCAGCGTTTATATTACTGTCAGGGACACTAGAAGATGGGACATCTAGGGCAACTTGCCCCACACTCCGACTCATATGGGGAACCGAAATGTTTTGTTGTTGTTTTTCATTGAAATTTTAAAGAAAACGTATTTACTTCGAATTCAAATTAGCAGCTATAAATTATATTTTCAACATGGATAAACTAATTCTGTTTATACATTGGAGGCTGGAAATAAACGGCCTCTATGAATCTACTGCCCTAAGTCTCTTGACTTTTCTAGTGACGAGGCCAACTAGTCTAAACCGCGCAAAATTGTCTCTAATACAGTTCACATCCGACTAATTAGTGGTTTTGTAGGACGTGATAGGTTATGTTGTTGGAACATCCGTGGCCATGTTGCCACGACCTTCCGTTGAAGTATCGCTCGATGTTTGGAAGTCATGCATTCCGTTAACTACATGAAGGTTAAGCGAAGTCGAGTCAACGCGGGTTTTTGGTTGGGTGTCCGACTAGGAAGCCCGTAATCTATCAGCGCCAAGGACAGTTGCCCTTTACGGCACATGTAATGGCTAAATACAAAAACAAAGAGAGAGCACATTACAAGTGTTTGATATCCAAATCGGTCTTTTAATTAGCTTGAGAGGGTGCGCAAACTCCAAGGATTTGAAATTGGCCGACAATAAAGTTCAACAGGCAGTACGATTCCCATCAAACTCCATACTTCGTCAACTCTCGTCTGACTGCTTGAAAGTCGCAATAAGCGAAAGCGCAGACTAGCTAGGTACCATGTGTGCAGTACTCTTAGCTCCAAGCTTTGGTGTGAGACCACTGCTCACATCAATATCAGGGCATATCAACTTTCCATTCGAATTACCACAGACATACTACGAAGTGCATGGATATGGGGCGCCTCCGTCGCCAGGCGCAGCACAGCGTAACATTCGCCAACTTCGATTGATAAAAAATTGATGTATTTGTGGGAAAAAGATATGCTTGGGAAACAAATATTTATCAATTATACTGATATGTACGTAGATGAAAGAATCGTGGCGGCATAAAGCGCAAACATAGGGCAACTAGCAAACAGATGAGTGGCAATCGGCGAGTTAACGCGCCAATCGCCAACCGCACAGTTTAATTGTAACAGTCTGCACGGATGTAGTTCGCTTCGACTGAACTAACCTTCATTCGTTTATGATATTAGCAAGACATTCAAGTGCGGTACTGTGCGATGATGTGAAGTGGAGTGCAGTGAAGGTTTTCGTGGTGTAATTATACATTACTTATGAAACTCGGCATTGCTCGGACATTTATTAAGCATAATCCTGTATTAGATGGCTGGCCTACGTATATACCGGTCTTGCGTAAAGGTACTTCAGACTAAACAAGAAAAACAAGAAAAAGCATCGATGTTCCAAAAAGCATCGATGTTCCAAAAAGCATCGATGTTCCAAAAAGCATCGATGTTCCAAAAACATCGATAGTTTTTCGTCGATGTATTTTGAACATTGATGTCGCGACATGTTTTTGTAGAAACATCAATGTTTTATACATCGACGTATTAACATAGATGTCGCATTGCTAAGTCGGAGGCGTGCGCAGGCGCTCCGTGCTCAGATCTCAGAGCTTCACGCCGCGTGCCGCGTGCACCGTCTGCGCCAAGACGCGACGCAGCTCTTTCACGCGAAGCGGCGGCGCGTGACGGCGCGCAGACGCAGCGGCAGCGGCAGCGGGACCACTCGCCGAGGAAACGACAACGAAACGGCGAGGGCTGCGAATGTATCAGGGCCTCGCAACTCTCCATCAAAACCGGGGACAAACCTCGAGGGTGCTATTCTAGGAGGCGCTAGTGTCGCCGGGTACAACTGCAGGTTAGGCTCGCCGACTTCCGCACATACAAATTCACTAATTTGTCAGAAAAAGAAAAAAAGAGTATTTTTTGAAATGTTCGATTATTCATAATATACATATGTAAGAAACCCCTGAAAAAAAGATGGACATCGGTGCTATCTTTTGTAAAATACGCGCCTGCTGCCGTCCCGCGAACTCACGCAGCAGCCACACACGTTTTGAGTGTCATTAGCAGCAGTTAGTGTTTTAGTTTCTGTAAGAAGGAACTGCAAGAGAGCGCGCTGATCCAACAGCCGAACGTATCCCTTCCTACAAATAATAAATTCTGACGATAGCGTCCACGATTTGCGGTAAATACATAATAT